AGTGCTCTTCTCTAGGCCAGTCAAGCGCTTTTCTTTTTACAGTGTAGAGACTTGTATACGTCGAAACCATTTGGGAATACGTATACATAACGGAGGAAAAAAAAGGATAGATTATTGAAGATGTTTTGTGAAAGTAAGTGAACACGAAGATGTTATTGTCTTACCGCTTTTGAAGGAATGGTTAATGGTTCTATTATAATTGATTGTATTGTGTTATTATTCAGTATAGTATATACAACAGTGTATGATTGATAATAACATGTATAATATGTATAAGTAGTTGAGCATGTTTGTGAAAATCCGTTTTGTGTGCATGTGTAATGTGGAATTGAACACTGACTTGCGTTAGTAGTATAATTTTGAATCATGCATGTTGTGTTTGTAAAGGTTGTTACATTTGAATAATTTTCTTCAGCTTGTTTTTCAGGCACGTAGAGTGACGCTCCTATGGAGCCAACAATAATTCCCGCTGTTACTGCTACCACTATTAAACATCCTATGAATGCAATCCAACCGTCTGATATTTTAGACATTCTAAAGAATGATTTACTTCTCTATTCACTTAGACGTATAAATATACAAAACATAAAATTTTAATGGTTTTTACCATTTTATTCAAATGATTCATATTCTCCTACGTTTATTTACATTACTCATTACAGTACAGCACACCAAAGAATTTAAAAGGAATTTCAATGAGACCATACCGGTTGTCTACCGTACTAATGATGTTGCAGAAAATAAACTACTCAGAAATGTTCTGTTATAAGTGTTTTACATAGATTTTTGCCGTTTTTTCTATATATCTTGGGTAGAAAAATGCAGAATCGAAAAAAAGATTTGCATTGTATGATGATCATACAATGCAAATTTTGTTTTTCGGTTTTGCAATTTAGTTGGTACTATTGTCAAGACAATGATCGTCTTGACAATAGTACAAACTAAATTGATATGCAGGAGGTGTATTGGGCAAATTACTTTTTAGCGAAAAAAATGAATTTTAGTCAGCCATATAAATATAACTGTGGTCTTTTGCATATTTTATATTTTTTGCAATATCTTTTACACTGAAGATTAGAGTTACTGATGCTCTTCAGAGGCATTTACGTTTTACATCCATCTATTAAATGGTACTAAGTTGAATAGCAATGCTAGTCGGCTTCATGCCTCTTGTATATTGGTTCTTTTTGTTTATTATGCCGCACTTTAGCGCAATCATAGGTCTAAGTGCAAATTGCAAACAAAAAATACGGTATAGCTTACAATAAAAGTAAGCTATTGTTTTCGTTTGTTGGCTTATGTTTTATAAGCGCATGTGTTTTTTCTCATAAATTTTTGTAATATTTATGAATAAATATGTATATATGCTTCAAGATACAACACTTTCTTAACAAAACAAGCCAGAAGTAGGATAAAATCAACTGTACAATTTTCTAGGAAATTGTAGAAAATCTTGTTTGAATGTTACAAGATCATACAAGACCCGACACTAATTTCATACAAGAATCGTACAGTACGATGTCATCAGAAATGTTCCCAGTTCAAACAAACAAACAGTAAGATCTTTCAAGATTCAGTGGCTGATCTTGCACGATCTTCTAAGAATCAGATGAAAACCTACAAAAAATCGTAGTCTCTGAAAAAATGACATCAAATCTTAGCGTAAGATTTTTACAAGATCGTACGGTGATACGATCTTGTTTGACCTTTCAATAAGGTGATACGATACTGAACAGAACAGTAAGATTTCATAAAAATCTTCTGGTAATAGTTGATGTAATTTTTTCAGAGACTACGATTTTCTTTGCAAAGTTATAGAATTTGTAAGAAAGGTTCTAAATTGTTCATTGTCAGCTCAAAGCCACAGAAATAATTAATTGAGGGCTCTTCTTATAAATTCTATAGCTTTGCAAAGAAAGGTCGTTTACAGCTGGGGGATGTTTCATTTCAATCAGAAATTTGCGCGCTACAATCCTGCATTGTCAAGGAAGGCTTGGATTATTTTTTGGGGTTTTTGAAAAATTGGTTTTCCAGAAGATTGGATCTTCGAAGGGCTATGGGGGAGCCCCATTGTTATATTCGGAATCAGCATGGCCGATAACCTATAAACCACCAGATGTCGATCAAAAAGCGATTTATCACCTCGGAAGGTCCCCTCGTCAGCTATTCTGAAATCTTTTAACCTGCACAGCGCTTTCGAGAGTTTTCTTCAAATTTAAGGGTCAAAGAGACCGTGTTAAATCGATTTCACGATGATATCCGTAATTTCCCGACCTTCAGAGAACATTTTACTTAACTGATTTTTCCGGTATATTTGAAAAGCCAGTTGTTACTCCCGAAGTATCGAAAATCATACAGAGAAGGAAGTGCCTGAATACTCATTTCGTTCTAAAAGTAGACTCGAGCAGACTTTGCTCTATTCAACGGTAAAAACTAGTTTTCGCATCTCCTCTATTTCAAGAGATATTGATACTTTTTGCAGGATGGAAGTACTTCTTATATTCACTGTAAGTGAGTCTCACTTCATTTAGTTTTCAATCATGAGAACAAACAAATAATGGATGATCTCATCAAAAGCTTATAAAGGACGGGGGACGATAAGAGGCAAAATTGACCCACACTCAAATCAGTCCTACGTTACCTCACCTGATGCTGTTTTTGTCCACGATTAACGTTAACATATTTTTAAATCTTAAAAATCCTTTTCAGCGATCCTGGAAACCTTTTAGCAGAAAAAATTCTGCTCGCCCTAAACGACTTCACTCAAACTAGTTACATCAGTCCACCTGTCTCACCCAGAGCAAAAATCAACTATTATATATTGTTCCATAGAGAATTTTACTGGCTACAAAATGACATATAAGAGAGGCTTAAGAAAATGTAACTGGGTAGTCTAAGATCCGAAATACTATGCAGCATCCCGAGATACCGGTAGGTCAATGCCGTTAATATTTATAATGGTGACCAATTTTGTCGTTAACAAGAGAAAAAACCCAGTGATATCTGACTCTTTTTTTTTGAAGAAAGAAAAAGAAAACAGGAAAAATTTTTTTTTCTTCCTTTGATGTAAATACATGATGATTGTGAAAGCATGTAAGTAAAAGAATTATAGATAAGCGAATGACCTTCTTGCTTTCCGTTATGTGTAGCATGTCACGTACCTAAATATTTTTCTCTTTTATTTCAATCACCACACCACATATGGTTGTTGTGAGCCATGTAAAAATTCAACGTTAAACTCGAACTCCTATGACAGGTAGGGGCGGCGAAACGGTTCTGAAACTGTGGATGCTCGCATAATTCTGTCCGGATTTTTGGTGTCAATGTCCATATGTGTTGAATTAATTCTTTGACTGTGGGTGACGCAAATGTGCGTCACAGTAATTCCTAGGTAAATCAAAACCCATAGACTCACATGTGATATCAGTTTTCGTGACACCATCTAGCAAGCAGTCTTTCCATGTCGAGGCCATGTCGATGACTATGTTATCTGAAAAACTTATCAAGATCAGACGTATTTTGACCGAGTTATGATAAACACAATTTTATTCCAGCCGAAAAATTGTGTTTATCATATAAAAAAAAAATTTAAAATATACACTACCTAATGTAGAATTTTGTGCTCTACCGTTTGAAAAAAAAATTTTTAATTCATCATCAAACTATAGTTTTAAAATTTGATTTTTGTCTGTAATAGTGAATAATAGTAAGGTTAAGGAAATTCGACACCGGAACCCACCTATGTAGCTGATGTAGCTATGTACTGAGATAGAAAAAAGTACATAGATCAATAGACTATAGTGCAACATTAGCACTAGAACGCCCCGAAATTTTCATGACCTAGAACGCCCAAAGCGGTCATTTTGACCGTTACTGTTTTTTTTAAAAATTTTATACTTAAAAAATGGCTCTGAATTCGAAAATGAATTAAAAATTCTACAAAAAATAATTTTTGTGGGGCAAATTAAAAGTTATGACATAATTTATTTTTAAATAAATTGTATTCAGTTTGTTTTATTAAGGATAAAAATCACAAAACGGTCAAACTGACCGCTACGGGCGTTCTGGTGTTAGAATCAAAATTCTTAATTCTACAAGTCTATATATATAAAGAAGAAAGTTTGTCTGTTTGTTCGCTATACCTTTCCACACCATACGACCAATTTCGATGAAACTTTCCAGGAATCATCCTCTCATCTAGGGGAAGGTCGACGTCTACTTTTCGTCGATAAAACTGCGGTCCTAGAGTCGGAAAAGGTCCACCTATGTAGCCGAGCGATCAGATTTCAGCATTGAATACCTAGAAAAAACAGCTGAAGCGCGCGTTCTGGAGGCGCACAAAGGATCGTTCTGGAGGTTTTTGAGGATGCTGGATCTGAATCTGAGCTTCATTTATCCCAGAAGTTCATTGATTGCTCCGAAACCAATTGCAATTCAGCTACCTATGCATCTTCTTTTGGCTGATGTATATGCAAAGAAGAATGTCGGCTGTCTGATCTCCTTGAGTTCAATTCCCTCTCTATGACAGCTAGCGTCGTCAAAGTTTCTGTGGCGCTTCTCTCGACGCAGACGTAGGTCGATGCGGGGTTGGCACAATCGACAGGGTAGAGCAGGAAACTCTGGGTGATATTTGACACAGTTGGAATGGCCTATTCTTTTTCGATCTCTGTGATTGCTAGCGTGACTAAACTTCTTAAGGCCTGTCTTTAGGGTCAGGCGAAAGCCAAAGTTGGTGGAGAAGGATAGGTTGGGTGAAATGGCATCCACCATCGAGAAACTACTGTTTTCATTGATTTTTCAGAGAGTTAGAAAGATTAATCACGATTTGGAATGCACTTAACTACCACTACTACCGTTGTGTTGTATGTGAACGTGCTGCTGCAAACTGAGTGTACGAGTAAAAGAAAGGCACATATACGCTATGCGTTGAATTGTCTGACTTGAGCGTTGGTGATTGTTACCAACACACGTGTACAATTGGGTTAAAAGAGTATAGTGGTTGGATGGAGATGGAATAGAATTTGTCAAAATAGAAGAGAAAGTTAAGTGAAGTCGAACTAGATGAGACTCGAGTCAAGGTGGAGTCGGAGCTGAAGTCTGTTTTCCAGCTGTGATTCATTTCATCGATGGCAACAGACCGACCTGGACATGTTGTGTATGGCACAATGAACACACCTAGATACTGATGATTCTTCATTGTTACAGTGAGAAACGGAAAAGTTGACAGACGCAAAACAGAGATTGACATCTACAGCTCCGGTGCTGACAATCCATTATGGCTGAATAAAATTGGAGCTGGAGTGAGATTTTCAAAACGAAGATGAAGTTAAAATAGGCTGGAACGCTCGATAGACGGAGTTGTAGCTGAACTT